TATGAAACAGGGAAGTACCGCTGTGTAATCCATTTATTTCAACAAAGTAACTGTATTCTAAATACCACCTTTTTAAACGGTAACTGTAATGGAATACAGTTACTCATATTTTGTATTTTAAATACGTAACAGCAGTACATGTATTCCGTTACTCCCCAACACTGAGTACATGATCCAGTGTAATGTCTCATGAAATTACAAAACCAACACTTGCGTGAATTTTTTAAACAACATTCACATAGACAAAAACCGAGAGGGTTTACTGTGCCACTGTGCAATTATAATTCATGTATGATTACTGCAATATGCAGGTTCTTTTAGAGCAGCTACAATTCACTTTACTATGTGAGAAAAATAGTCCCTTGCTCAGTTCAGGAGATCAGTACAGCCTCTTCATGGCCTCGAGTGGTGTTCACGCTCAGTTGTTGCATCTCCTCAGCAGACGTGATCTGAACTGCAAGACGGTGGATTGTCAAAAATAACACTTTGGTAGGCACGTGCCTCTGTGTGTTGATGCATTTAATTTAGAGAAGAATCTAAACTAGAGAACCTGCATATTTTATCTTCTTATTGTGTTCATCGTGTTTCCCCTGGAGATTTCAACATCAACGTTCACATTCACAGTGCTTTTCTGTCTTTCTAGGCCAACATCGGGCAAGACGAAGACTTTGAAGCTGCCCGGAAAAAGGCGGAAAGCCTCGGTGCAAAGAAGGTATGCGTCAGGGAAACAGGATGTTGTATTTGATTAGGATTTGTTTGCAGCGTGAGCAACATCAGAGAATGTCAGCTACAGTGCTTTTAATGCTTATGCACAGCCCGACCAATCCTGGATTTCTGGCACTGATCCCAATACTAATATTTTTTTCTAGATGTAGAAGTGTTGCAGTTATAGTAAAGGCAGAAAATTGTTATTAATTTCATTAGGATTTTATTTCACGGACGAGTTAGCAAGGCAGTGCTTGATTCTGCACCACAGTCAGAGTCACAGTCAGTCTTCTGGACAAATGACATGATGGAACCATTTTGACAAAGCCCTGTTCTGTGTCCTCGCCTCTGTGGCTGTGCAGGTTTTCATTGAAGACCTTCGTACAGAGTTTGTGGAGGACTTCATCTGGCCTGCAGTTCAGGCCAATGCTGTCTATGAAGACCGATACCTGCTGGGCACTGCGGTAGCACGGCCCTGCATTGCCCGGCGTCAGGTGGAGATTGCACGCAGGGAGGGTGCCCAGTTTGTCTCACACGGTGCCACTGGTAAGGTAAGTGAGACAATGGGCATGGAATTATGCCGTGTGGGGTAAGAATGTCCAAAATCTGCAAATGTGATTCCGGGAATAAGTTTGCATCTTTATTTTTTGAAGAGCAGGGACATAAAATCAAATGCAGGGCTTGTGAAACAAGACTAAAGCATCAGTTTTCTTATTATAAATTAAGCCTCAGACATGGCGGTTAAAATTTCAAACCAATTTCAAAGTACAGACTTATTAGCTAGGTCTAGGTCTCTTTGCACAGTTGCTTATTAACCTAAATAAGACTACATCGTTAAAATCTACCCTTTCTCTTTCAGAAACCCTTTCTATTTAGTCCTTTGAAAAGAAAGAGGCATAACAGTTGAATAACAGCTGTCTTATTTCTAAAGTGAGCCTTTTTAATGGGAAAGAGCGTACAGCTCAAATGGTAAAATAGGAGCACAGAGTTTATTTGGTCAGAGTTGGTAATTTAACAGATCATGACAGCTTTGAGTCATCTAAAGTTCAAGTGTCCTGACTGCAGCTGTACCAGATGAAGATGTTTTCAGGCTTCATGCCAAGAACTTTCTCAGCCTAGGTTGTGAAAGTGACAATTTGTGATGTTCTCATTATTTAGACTTACTGCAGTTAGCCACACTTTCATGCCATTGTTTTCATATCCCGATTTGACCCGATGTATGTTCAGAGCACAAATTTAGCTGCGTTAGTAATAGTTCCTGTATATTTACACTGCAAATTTATGGAGATTTTTCTGGGATTCATAATATATTTTCAAATATACTTCTGGAAAATAAAAACCTTTAAAAAAACATGTTGTACTTTTTAAATACATTTTCCTTTTATTATTTTACGTCTTTTTTGAAATGCAGTGTCCACATGTTGTCTATAGATGGAGTCAAAAACCACATCATGGAGTTAAAGTACAGGTTTAAAACATGGTGTACCCTGCCTCGTGTTTCAAAGTGCAGCCCATTTATTCTTTTACTATTTGTGTTGATAATGAGGAAACTATGGAAGCTTGTTTAAGCCACAAAAAAATGAGCTAGTAAGTAACTATCTTTAAATTTTAGGATAATAATCCAAAACTCTAAATTGTAGATAACAAAAAATGTTCAGTAGGTGATTTTTTTGTTCTAGTGTCAGAAACAAGCTTCTATAGAAAGAGACAGTAGAGAAACAACTACTAACAACTAAGAAGCAACTAAAAATTAATCAGTTCATCCATTAACACAAAAAGTAATCAACAATTCTAAAAAATTTGAGTCAGTGTGAAGTAAAATAGTTCATTTTAAGGTTTTTTTTTGCATAGTAACTGTGATTCATTTGGTTTTCTTTACTGTCTTTGATAGTACATGGAGGGCATTTTTGAGTTTAGGATGTAGTTTGGGGAAAACTAATTGTTTGAATATGTAAACTTGGGGTTTGGGGTCTTTTCTGGCCCTTAATAGATAAAAAAAATTAAGCAGATTATTAGTGAAAATATGAATAAATGATTAAAAATGTTAGCAACAGCCCTGCTGTGCACACTTCTAATCTAATCTTAATGTGTTTATTGTAAACTGATACAACAAGTAACACAAGAAACATCGAGTTGAACTGTTGTTTGCACTTTTCAGGGAAATGACCAGATACGCTTCGAGCTAACATGCTATGCCCTCTACCCTGAGGTCAAGGTGAGTTTGTTTATTTATTGTGTGGATGTAATTTACTGACACTGTGGAGTAATGTCACTGTAGCTGGAAAGAGTTTCTGTTTGTGTTCTTTAGATCATCGCACCCTGGAGGATACCCGAGTTTTACAACCGCTTCCGGGGGAGGACGGACTTGATGGAGTATGCAAAGGTAACTCTGTCAGTGGCATAATGTCAGAAACACAATTATTTTACCACCTTTATTTTCATAGCAATGGGTCTGTTAACATTTTCAAGGTACAGATTCACCCTTTGACTAAAAAAAAATCCAAACAATTACCTGATCAAATCTCCAAGTCCTAAAAGTACCATCCACTTAATAGTGACGTTAACATTGTCCTGAATTATTTTGAAAAAAACAATTATTAAGCATGCAGTGAACTACCAAAAAAGGAGATTAGAGGCTATATTATAACCAGTGTTGGGGAGTAACGGAATACATGTACCGCCGTTACGT